ACATTGGACTAATCTCCGTCAAGATTTATGACAGAGATGTCGTGGAATAAAGAATTCTTTTTATTTCTGTCCTATACTACTTTGACAACCTGTTCGAATTATTCCATATACCGTTGCTTTGATTGTATAAATTAATTATTAAAATTAATATAAAATTTAGAATTCTTGTTTGTATTGGTATAGCGTTGAGTTGCAATCTGGATGTAGGATTGAGTCGAACATTGGACTAATCTCCGTCAAGATTTATGACAGAGATGTCGTGGAATAAAGAATTCTTTTTATTTCTGTCCTATACTACTTTGACAACCTGTTCGAATTATTCCATATACCGTTGCTTTGATTGTATAAATTAATTATTAAAATTAATATAAAATTTAGAATTCTCGTTTGTATTGGTATAGCGTTGAGTTGCAATCTGGATGTAGGATTGAGTCAAACATTGGACTAATCTCCGTCAAGATTTATGACAGAGATGTCGTGGAATAAAGAATTCTTTTTATTTCTGTCCTATACTACTTTGACAACCTGTTCGAATTATTCCATATACCGTTGCTTTGATTATATAAATTAATTATTAAAATTAATATGAATTCAGAATTCTTGTTTGTATTGGTATAGCGTTGAGTTGGAGTCTGGATCAGTAACGTGAAGATTTATTTTTATTCTATCTATACAAGTAATTCTATATATCCATACTTTGATTATACAGATTAATCAGTTTACAAATTTCCTCGATGAATAATTCGTTCCATTGATCCAATCTGCAGAGCTGTTCATTAATACCCACCAGTCTAAGATAATCACCTTTAGCTATAAACTCCAGGACGCTGTATTGCTAATCTATCGGAGTAATTCAATTTCGACCCAATTAACGTCGATTAGATAAATTAATAGTCAGGGATTAATGAATTTATTAATCACTAGTTATTTGTCTGCAGAGTGATACTCGCGTGAACGTGAAATATCGATCATCGTCTATTTTCGATCGATCCAATGTCAACTGCATAAATTACTACTAATTATCTGTCCACGGAGATATTCAGTAATACTCTGCTCGATCTAAGATAACCTTCAGCTATCAGCTACTCGTCGTCACCATCCTACTTTATATTCGATCTTGATCCAATTAAGATCGACTATATAAACCTGTCAATAGACTGACACTGAGAACAGAAATTCTAAAATCAGTCCATCTAAATCCACCGAACTATAAAATTTAGTTACCACTCTCATTTTACTGCCTTGTCCTAAATAATTCGAAACTCGCGTCGCAACCTCGTGATTCGACCTCAGACTATACCATCATCGACCATGCGTGTTAACCGTGTCCAAGTTTACACGATCGTCTACACTGGCTACTACCAGTAGGATGTTAGTTGCATCAGTTAGCGCAGTATGTTAGAGCGAGGAGGACAAAGAGTGGTCATGACGAAGCCCTATTCGATCGTGGGCAGAGCATAAGGTCTAAAATTCCGTGTTCCTGGTGGCAGAAGGTTCGACAATTCGGCTGCTTGGAATTGTCCGCGCTGGTGCAAATAGAAATACAGAGAAGCAAGGAGAGAAAGGCTGGCGGCACAGAGGGAAAGGGAGCGAAAAGGAGAGAAAGCGCGGAATCAAGCGATGTACGTTTCCTCTTTGTTAACCCATTCCCTTTCTCTTGACCTAGTCTTCTGGATCGGCTCTATTGTGCACACCAGAATTAACCCTTGAGCTCAAGGTGCCTCTGCACATGGACGCACACGCACACTTCCGCGGTCTTCCTAAGAATCACGTGTCGGCCTGGCTTGTTCTTTCAAAAGTGCATCGTCCTTCTCCGGACTATCATCTTTTGTGTACGGTGTCCGAGAGACAAAGGACTCGAGATTACCGTCTTGATTTGCGTCAATGTTGTTAGCTCTACAACGGGATGATTCGAATAAAGGGCTGCACGAGACACATTCTTCTGCCTGGCTTTTAGGGTGACTCGCGTATGAGATTTGTGTTCCTTATTCCGGGTTTACGTTCTTCATGCGTGGAATGGAATATGTTTTTAAAATTCTGTTGAATTCTGACAAAAATAATCCGACAGTGATATAAAAGTGGTTTAAGTCTAAACGTTAAGAGTCGTACTCCAAATATGCTATTAATTAAGAAAGAAGTAATTAACATTCTAACAATTGAATTTTGCTTGTTATTTTATCGGGAATGATTTTACTTTATTTTAATATAAACGAATGCTTTAATATACACGAAGTGATATTATTATTCCTCTTACATTTTCAACTTATGACTTTTATAATTCCCAACACATGTCGTAGTTCTGTTTACTGTCAATATAAGGTAACTGGAGATAATTTCTCTTTACACAATTTATATATATTTTGTATCGTTAGTGTATCATACTGTCCTATTTTCTGAATATTAAAGTTAGAATAAAATTTTTATACGAAGATTGTTCTATTCGATGTACGAAAATTTATGCAATACTTGAGCATGTTTCCATTTTTACCAATTTGTATATTTAGCGATGTATTAGGATTCGAGTTAAAAATTTTAATCGAGCCGGAAATTTAATCTAGAATTGAAGAAAAGGAGGAAGAAAATAAGACAGTGTCTCGTTACGTTTCAGCCAGTAGGTGATACACCTAATCGAAGATCGTCAGCCGAGCAATAAATCTTGTTGGCATTTATAGAGTCTCTGGATGCATTTGTAAAAGAGTCCCTAGGTATCCCTGGGATGTGACCAGGGCAGAAAATCGAATTCCTTGGGAAACTCTGTACACTTTCGTGACCGATTGGTAACCATTAAATGTCGATCACGTCTGCACTATTTACACAGCACTTTATTAGCTACTACTACGTAAATATTTATCCGAACAGCTTCTAGTTACTTTGCCGAGATTGAACACATCTAAGCGTAGAGGCATTAAGTATCTTCCGTTCCCGTTCAATCTTTCATCGAATCTTCTCGAAACGCTTAATTTTATACACCCTATCATCGTTAACTTCGATTCTATCTGTCCACAACCGTGTTGCCTGAAAAGTAAATAAATGGTGCAGTAGGAAATTTTAATTCGCTGTGATTAATTGATCTATTTATAAATACTTTAATTTAAGAAAATATTTTGACTTGCAGACCTAGCTTTTGAATAATTCTTCGTAATTAATAGCAAAAGGACGAACAAAATTACAATATTAAAATTTTGTAATGTCGAAGATATTATTGTACACAAAATTATAAGGGATAAATCTAGAAGTAAGTGAAAGAAAGACTAAAAAAGGTAACAAAGAGATTAAAAAATAATTTATTTCTTCCACTGTTTCCTGTAATGTCATATTTTTATGCGATTATGCCAAAAACCAGTAGTCTAGCTCTTGTAAAGCAACGAAAAAGCGATTGTTCCGCGAGATTAAAAGCTTCGAGTAGAAAAAGTCGGCATAAGTCAGACAGGCCATTCTACTTGGCTTCCCGACCGCGATAAAGTTCCCAGGTTATAAAAGTTTATTATACTTTTTATATGGATTTTACACTTTCTTCGTGGAGCTAGGGTGCAAGTATGCACGTCTGTGCATCGATGTAAAAATGGGTCGACCATCCTTTAGTAATAAATCCCGCCATAGTCGACTCAATGAAAACTCATTCGTCACTCCGTCAAAAGAAACGTATTTTTGGCGCAGCGAAATTTGTTCAAATTTC